ATTCGCTGACCTGAGTCGGGTCAGTGCTCCTTATTGATCGAAACCTCTGAGTATTGTTGAGGTGTGAGGGTGAGAAAGGTTTAGAAGGAACAATAGCATACAGAGCCTTCAAAAATAATCTTAATTTCTCGATGATTTTGGCTTTACTCTCATGAGAGCTGAAAGGTTGCAATCTAAAGCTGAAGAGTTCTAGTTAAATAAGGGTTAACTCGTTTCCTCTTGATCGAAGTCCTCATACATTGCCCTCGTTTGAGTGTGGGGAGGAAGATACAAAATAGGGCGAAAGAACTATAATCAACGATAGCAGTGCACTTGCTTGCTTTCCCATTCCCAGATGTTAACTTTGTGGCGCTTCGTAAACTTAGTTTCAAACAGGATATGTATAGAAAATTCTTTGCCTTTATCCTTGGAGACTGCGCAGATTTTTGGCGCTGTTTTAGTATCCGGCCAAAACAAAGTCATGAATTTTGCTCGACCTTGACTTATGATCTATTCGACAAGTTATACAAGTTTACTTTTCGTATGGGGCGATTTCTTGTGTCTCTTTGTTATTAGCATGAATCAATCCAGCAAATCAAGGCAATGCTAGTTCAGTCTGAGAATCTGAATTAATCTCGTACAGTAGACCTACCGTAACTACACAGTAATTAGTCATGACGAAAAATATGACGTTGTCCAGCACAATCCGCATTTCGAATCTCCTAACAAAATTCCGGGATCCGGACTAGATAGCGCCTGAATTTCTGAGGAGTTATAGTTATACTATTTTGCTGGCTACTTAGGAAATCTCCCACACCACCCCTAGGAGGGTCTAACAAATGGGAGGAAGCAAACTTGAAAGATAGTCGATAAGGACTACGCAACGCATGTAGCCAACAATATGCGTTGGTAGTTCGTATCTTCTTTGAAATTCGAAAAATTGCAAGCCGTGTTACTTCCGCTAATCCCAACTTTCCGACCCAGTTAGATCATCTTACTTTGAAAACCAGAGCAGGTGTACGGATTACACATAATCGTAAACGTGCAGTAAAACAACTCAAAACTATTATTTATTTTGGCTTGAACAAATATGGTTTCCCTAAGCACATCAGAAGTATACAACTGCAACTTCTGGCGGAATTAGACCGTTTTATCTGCCTCTGTCATTCTATTTTGAGTGATAGTGTGCATGTCAAACTGGAGACTTAATTTGTTTCGCAGTGCCCCAGTGTAACTTCTTTGACGTGTTCTACATAAAATTAGGCACAATCGCAAACCCTGTAATGAAAAGACGAATCTTTAGTGCATGGCTTGAAAATCACCATGTACTATTATCTATTGTCTGTCCAGCATGTCTATCTTTTGACTGTCCAGTATGGCAAAGCACCTTCCATACCCTTTCCAGGCAATTTCTAATGTAGTCATCGATTCCTCAAAGAAGCTGCATCTGACCAAAGACAATCGTCGCAATGGCAGACGCAAGTCAAATTCCGAAAACTCCTTGCCTGCCATCACAGAGAATACCGACGCGTAATCCTCCTTTTTCATTTACTTGGATTTGGCTTCAGCTTTATTCTTTTCAGTGAGGAGTTGAGGCCTGCAGTGGAGCCGGATCCGTGTCCTGCCTATGACTACGATG